TTGAAATTTTGGCGAATTCCGGTTGATAGGTGAGATTTTGATCAGAGGGTCGGAATGGACTTCCGAGAGTTGCAGTAGCTCCGTAGGGTGATTTTGGATATGTCTGCAAATTTTCAGGTCATTCGGACGTCGTTTGGTCGGGTTTTTGATCGAATGCGTATTGCGGAAGTTTTTAAGAAACTTAGGCTTGAATCCGATGTAAATTAATGGTTTTAGTGTTGTTTGACGTGTTTTGAGGATTGGAGCAAGTTTGAATAAGGTTTTAGGATGTNATTTGGTTATTATGGGCAACTGCTGTAAATAGAGGCTATCGTTTCGAGTGTTTGGATTATGTGGTATATCATATGATTTCACCTGAGGTTGCAAGTATGGGTTACTACAGCTGGTTTGGGTTTGTTCTGGGTATAGATGTGAGGTTATGATATTGTGTATGATTTCGAAAAGTGCAATGTGGTTCTATGATTTATGGTTTAAATGGACTGTGAGATTTCGGCTATATTGAGTTGTCGGACCTATATGAGATAGGGTGACGTGAGATCACCCCGGGTATATGCTTGGTAAAGTTATTCAGCTATTGGTTAGCTTCTAGGACAACTCTGGGTACGCTCGAGGACGAGCGTTGGTTTAAGTTGGGGAAGATGTGACGACCCGACCCATCGTCTCATGTATTACAGCCCCGTTTCCCCCATTTACTGCTTCTTCATGTTTCATTATCAGCAACGAGTGAGTTATAGTTGAATTGAATTGGTTTGGATATGAGATGAGACACTTAGTCTCTTTAACGAAGGCTTAAGTTGGAAAGGTCAACCGGACGTTGACTTATGAGTTAGAAGGCTCGGATGTGATTTCCGGTGATTCGGTTAGCTTTGGGGGATGATTTGGGAATTAGGAGTGAAGTCGGAACTGAAGTTGGACGTCCGGTGTAGAAATAGGCTTGAATTGGCGAAGTTGGAATTTTGGCGAATTCCGGTTGATAGGTGAGATTTTGATCCGAGGGTCGGAATGGAATTCCGAGAGTTGCAGTAGCTCCGTAGGGTGATTTTGGATATGTCTGCAAATTTTCAGGTCATTCGGACGTCGTTTGGTCGGGTTTTTCATCGAATGCGTATTGCGGAAGTTTTTAAGAAACTTAGGCTTGAATCCGATGTAAATTAATGGTTTTACTGTTTTTTGACGTGTTTTGAGGACTGGAGCAAGTTTGAATAAGGTTTTAGGATGTGTTGGTGTTTTTGGTTGGGGTCCCGGGGGCCTCGGGGTGAATTCGGATGATTAATCGGAAGTTGGAATGTTTGGTGTTCCAGCAGATTTTTGAGGCTTCTGGTATTTCCGCATCTGCGGAAAAGGAGCCGCTTAAGCGGTTCCGCAGATGCGGTAGGGAGATCGCAAAAGCGGCCCTTGAGGGCCTGGGCAGTTACCACAAAAGCGGAAGTTTCTCCGCAAGAGCGGACACCACAGATGCGGTAAGCGACCGCAGAAGCGGTCCTGGGATTATTGTAGAGACCGCATAAGCGGTCATTGGGATCGCATAGGCGGCAACCGCATAAGCGGTTTAAGACCGCAGAAGCGGTCGTTGTGGGTTTAAGTAGAACCGCATAAGCGGTCAATTTGCCGCATAAGCGGGACCGCAGAAGCGAAAAATGCTGAGGGCTTAATGAACAATGGGTTCAAAATTTCAGAAGTTAGAAAACATTTTGGGACTTCGGGAAGAGGCGATTTTGGGCGATTTGGAGAGATTTCAAAGGAGATTCCATCAGGTATGAACTTGTAGCCTCAAATAATGTTGTTAGGGTATAAAAACAAGGATTAAACACTGAAAATTCAAGGAATTAAAGGGTAAAAATGGAGGTTAGGGCTTGAAGCCTAAGAGAGCCTAAATTGGCGATTTGAGGGGTCAAATGGACTCCGATTCTTGTGTACTTGGTATGTATGGACTCGCGGTGAGACGAGGATTCCGGAAATGTGAATTACGTAAATTTTTTGAGAAGTGGGCCCGGGGCTCGGGTTTTGCCAACTTCGTGTTTTTGGGTATTTTTCGAGTTCTTTCGATTGGGTTATGTTCCATTAGCCTATTTTAATGTATTTCTTGTGGTTTTGATCAGATTCGGCACCCGAGGAGGTTGATTCAAAAGGGGAAGGCTTAGCGGACTAGTCTCGTGGCCGGTTCGAGGTGAGTAATAGATGTGGATGATGACGTGAGGGTTTGAAACCCCAGTATATCACACTGTGACGCTATATTGAGGCGAGACACGTACTCTACGGTGAGTGCGGGGTCGAATGTGATTGGGGACTATGGCTTAGTCCGCCCGAGTGATGTTGTACTGTGTTGTTGGCTATAAATTAGCTGGTAAACCTCCTATTCTGATGGTTATGGATATATTTGGGCTGTGTGCCGGTTATTTGGATCGTAGGGATTATTATCACTATTTCTGTGATTTATAGCATGTTTTCATGATATCAGTCCTGAGCTAAACATTTGTCCTAAAATGACTAGCAAGATTCTAAGGTTTCAAACACCTAATTGATAATTACTGATAATTGGAACTAAAATTGGTAAGTTGACTGTGCCTGTGTGGCTTGCATGCATATAGCTGGACTGATAGTGGATCGGGCTGCACGCCGCAGCGTATGTTACTATGATATTGCGCTTGGGCTGTAGGAGCCCCTCCGGAGTCTGAACCCCCACAGTGAGCGCGGGTACCCAAATGGATCGGGCTACGCGCCGTAGCGGTCATGTGCATTTGCATTGCATTCATGCATCGAACCTTATCTGCTCTATCTGTTAATACTTATTGATGTTACACTGTTAAATGTGAAGAAATACTGTTGTAGCTTTACTTTGTCATATATTGGGATTTCTTACTTTCAATGTCATTATACATGTCTATTAACGCTGAGTTGGAAGTACTCACTTTACTCACTGCACCATGTGTGCAGATCCAGGTACCTCAGGAGCTAGTTGAGCTTATTGCTGTTCTTCAGAGTTTTCATTCGGAGTTGTCGAGGTAGCTGCCTGGCGTCCGCATGATCTGACTCCTCCCCCTATTTCCTATTATTTGATTATCCGCGTACTTCAGACTATGTAGTATTACAGTATTATTATGCTATTCTGGTAGAGGCTCTAGACTCATGACCCCCAGATCTTTGGGAGGTTGCTCTGTATTGTTGATATTCGGGTTGTTTTATACCTATCAGCTATATTTTGGTTTCTTCGCTGTTAATGATTTTTAAATAAATGGTTTTGAGCTCTACGCTCGGGTTGAGAGTATAATTGGTCGGGCTTGCCTAGAAGTTGTGTTGGGCGCCATCACGACCGGGTTTGGGGTCGTGACAAGTTGGTATCAGAGCCTAGGTTACTAGGCCTCATGAGTCTTGAGCCAGTTTAGTAGAGTCTCGCGGAGCGGTACGGGGACGCCTGTATTTCTCCACGAGAGGCTGCAGAACCTTTAGGAAACACTTCGTATTCTTGAACTCTTATCGTGCGGCCTTGTTATCCCGAAAACTAAACTCTTGTGATTTACTCTCTCGCAGATGGAGAGAACTCGTGCTACCGGACGTGTTGGTCGACCACCATTGCCACCTGCTAGAGGCCGTGGACGCGGCCGTGGTCGTGGTCGAGGTAGAGCAGCGGGGGCAGTACCAGTTGACCTACCCCCTATTCAGGATCAGCCTCCAGCTGTTGATGATCCAGCAGCACCCGCTCAGGCACCGGCAGTGCCTACCGTGATTCCTGGTCTTCAGGAGACATTAGCCCAGATCTTATCTGCCTACACTGGTCTGGCTCAGGCAGTTTCAGCTTCTACTGCCGCAGCTACTTCTCAGACCGGGGGTGGTCATCAGACCCCCGCAGCTCGCACACCAGAGCAGGTTGTGCAGGGACTACAGACACCCGAGGCAGCCCCAGCTCAGCCAGTTGCACCGGCTGCTCCAGTTGCGCCAGTCGCACCAGCCCCAGGGTATGTTGTTCCAGTGATGCCAGACGACGAGCAGCGTCGGCTAGAGAGGTTTGGTAGACTTCAGCCTCCGACATTCAGCGGTACAGAGGGCGAGGATGCCCAGGGATTTCTGGACAAGTGCCAGAGGATGCTTCGCACAGCAGGGATCTTAGAGTCTAGTGGGGTGTCTTTTACCACCTTCCAGTTCTCAGGACCGGCATTTACATGGTGGGAGGAGTTTGAGAGGCGTAGGCCTGCAGGAGCAGCACCCCTTACTTGGCAGCAGTTCTCCACTCTCTTTTTGGAGAAGTATGTGCCGCAGTCTCGCAGAGAGGAGCTGCGCCGACAGTTTGAGTGGTTGATCCAGGGTGATATGACAGTGACCCAGTATGAGTTGAGGTTTACTCAGTTGGCCAGACATGCTACGTGGATGATCCCGACAGATCGGGAGAGGATCAGGAGGTTCATAGATTGCCTCAACTATTCGATTCGTATTTTGATGACTAGGGAGAGGGTGGTAGCAGCTTCATTTGAGGAGGTAGTAGATATGGCTCGCCAGATTGAGACAGATCGTCGCCGAGAGCGAGAGGAGAGGGAGGCCAAGAGGCCTCGTGGTTCAGGTAGCTACAGTGGTGCTCCATCTAGGGGCCAGCATCAGCAGGGCAGAGGTCGTTCTTTNGGTACACACACACACACACACACACACACACACACACACATATATATATATATATAAACTCTGTTTTAGTCTACACATTTTGGCCATCAATATCTATATGCATTGAAGAACTCTAAAACATTTCCATTAGTTGGTTAGATATCTTTGAAATGCCTTGAAGTTCTTCATTGTTGATTATAAATACTATGGTCTTCTAACTTCTTCATTTTCCACTTACTGTTGATATTCAGACTGATTGAATATAAATATCCAGACTTTGATCTTGATTTTGGACTATGTAGCTTATACTTTCGTCTTGCTCAGCCTATTCATGTTCACGTTCTTGTTCAGGCCTGTAAGCTGAAGTTAGGAGACCTAGCTGGAGCATTGTTGGACGCTGATGTTGCTATTTATGATGGAGGAGACAATGTCAAAGCTTTTTACCGCCAAGGCCAGGTTGGAATGTTGATTTATAAAATGCAGTCGAAGTGGCTAGATTTCCTGAAGGAAAGAAAGCTTGACTTGATTTGTAAAAGAAAAGAGAACAGTGAGTGTATATGCACGACAGCAATATTATGATAAAAGCCGCCTCTTAACATCATTCTCCTCAGTGATCTTAGAAGTCTGAATGTAGTGAACAACTTACGATGTACTTCCATAGGGCTGAACCAACTTCTTTTTCTTTTGCATTGGGTTTGTCCAACCAACCTTCTATTTCTTCCGAGCTGGAAAGGACTTTCTTCTTTCATGAGGAAGGTTAGTAGGCTTCACTAGGAAACGAGCTTTGAACCATAAGTCCCTTTTTCAAGCTTGTCTTGCATTTTGTTAGTTCCTTTAGTGTTGGAATTTCACTTTGCTCCGTAAAATTTAATACGGTTTAGAGATATTGGAGCATAATTAGTACATGCGCTTCTCTGAACTGCCAAATACAGGTACTGTTCCAGGCAACTGCATGTTCTGCCTCCTCATCTAGTCCATCAAACAGAACTTAGGCTTATCATCAAAATTCAATTTAACACCAAATTTGGCATAAATCCAATCTGACACTAATCCTCATTTTTGTTCTCAAAATCCTATTCAGGAGAAATGTTAGGTCATAGCAAAATATTCTTTCTACTGCTTTCCTTACTCGATAATGTATGATTACTGATTCAGTTCTACCTTAACGTCTTCGTACTTTACTGCGTGGGGTATTATACATATCCAAAACTTTGAAGCATCATTTGCTTTATTTCAGGCATATATGGCAATGAATGCTGTAGACGCAGCAGCTGAAAGTTTTAAGAAGGCCCTGCAGTTAGAGCCAAACAATGGTTAGTGACGTTCTATTTCACTTTTGACCTTTTAAGGGAAAAAACTCTGGCTTTGAAGTACAAAGAGTATTTTGCTACTGTGATTAATGTATGTATTGTCGTTCCTATTTTACTTTCTTCTGTGTTATTTCTTGTCTACTTGTGCATCTGTATATTCTATGTTGCATTAGATGATTCTCTAGTAGCCAAACAAGGTTGCAGTCTTTAGCTGTGAATCTCAGGTTCAGCAAGTTGGATATCCAGACATGCTTATAAGTCCTTTACATCCCACAAAGAAACTCTTAATCCATACAAGGAAAAGTAGGAGTTGAAAAAGTGTCTTCAGTATGGTTTGCCTAAACTGATTAATTTAAGAGCCTTAAAGATATTTGTAGATTCTTCACATTAAACTCTGTTTGACCTGTTAGATTTTGTACGATGAAGAAATGTATTTCACCTCTGACTAACTGGTCTTGGTGTATATCCTTGAGTATCAATCCGGAGAAAGTATCATCCTTATTTCTTATTCTTACTTTCAGGGGGGATAAAGAAGGAGCTGGCTGCTGCAAAGAAGAAGGTTAGTCATTATCAGATCAAAATATTTAATGCAACATCTTCACTTTCTTTTGCAATTTCAAGTATGTGAACACAAATACACATTTTCTAATTTGTTAACAATTATAACAGATTGCTCAAAAACTAGACCAGGAGAAGAAGGGCTATGCTAAAATGTTTCAGTAAAATTTCCAGCGGTATGCTGAATTCTTTCCTCAAACCTCAACCTGCAATTATTTTTAAATCGTTACCCAAAATTAATGTTTTGAGATATCAAATGCAGTCTGCTAATACTTGTTAGTTAAATTTTTTGGCACAGATCATGATAGACATATAGTGGTGCAGGTTGCCAACTTACCAGCCTCAAACGGCCAGAACCAGGTATTTGCCTCTGATGTGCTACTCGCTAGCTATTAGCAAATTTGATTTACCATTACTACTGCTGGTGCTCCCGATAACAACACGATAGGGGATTCAAGAATTACTAAAGAAAAACAAGAAAATCAAGAAACGTGCGGAAGCTAAAAGAAAATAAAGAAACAAAAAAGGACGGAAAATTAAAGATAGAATTCAAGAAAGAGTTTCTTATTCAGGAAGTCTATTCTTGAAGTTGAATCCTAACAACAATAATTAGCTAACAAAGAACTAATCGCCTTTGGTAGAGAATTAAACACAAGAGATAGATTGTTGAAACCCGACCCTTTAGAATAACAAGAAAATAATAAGCCTAAATTTATCACCTTTCTTGAATACCTAGAAGTGATCTAAGATTTCGAAAGAGTTTAATCTTACCACCTTAAGTTGAGTCTTGAAGGTTGAAGAATAAATCCAAGAGTAGCCACACACAAGAGTGCAAGAAAAATCTCACAATTTTTATTGATAATAGTCTAAGTCTAAAAGCAAAGAAGATACCCCTTTATATAGGGAAGGGTCACGAAATTCTACCTAAAAAGACAGGGAAATAAAGTCCTAAACTACTTTGGATAACAAGTCCAACTACCATATGAAAAGGTAAAACTCTAGGAAACAAAAACCAAGTCAATCTTGGAAAGTAATTCCAATAATCTTAGGAAAAGAAAAATAAAACCTTAACTACCTAGGAAAGCATCAAATATGTCCTAACAAACTAGGAAACAAGATAAGGAACTTTGACTCCTTCTCCTATGTCTTGGTCGCCCCTCCTTGAGCTAACTTGGGCGCCAAGTTGGCTCTTTGTGAGTTGATTTAGACGCCTAATTTAGGCCCTCCTTGGCTGGTGCTTGGACCCCAATCTACCTCCTCTTGGACTTGGACTTGGACCATGAAATGAGTGTAGCACTTAGCTAAATCCTTTCCATAATTCTTGAGCTCTTCTTCCACCATTAGCGCCTTTTTGATCTCCCATTGAAGGTTTTCGACCTTTATTTCTTCGTAAAGTTGTTTGCTCATTCTTCCTCTCAATTACAAGTCTCGTATGCTCATGTATAGTCTTCATAAGATCAGCTTTCTTTTTTCCATCAAGACTAACCATCTCATTAGTAGGCAAAGGCAATAAGTCAAGGGGTGTAAGGGGGTTAAAGCCATAAACAATTTCAAAAGGAGAATAACCAGTAGTTGAATGAACAGTTCGATTGTAAGCAAATTCTACCATAGGCAAGTGATCCTCCCAAGAAGTTAATTTTCCTTTTAGAACAGCCCTTAACATATTTCCTAAGGTTCTATTTACTACCTCAGTTTGCCCATGTGGATGACAAGAAGTAGAAAATAATAATTTTGTTCCCAATTTTCCCCAAAGCACACGCCAAAAGTGGTTTAGAAACTTAGAATCCCTATCACTAACAATAGTTCTAGGTATACCATGCAATTTAACAACTTCTCTAACAAATAAATAAATCAGCAACATGAGAAGCATCATTGGTCTTTAAACAAGGAATAAAACGAGCCATTTTTGAGAACCTATCTACCACAACAAAGATGCTATCCTAACCATACCTTGTTCTAGGCATTCCTAACACAAAGTCCGTAGAAATATCAATCCAAGGTGAAATAGGCACAGGTAATGGTGTGTATAAACCATGTGGCAACACTTTAGATTTAGCTTGTTTGCATTCAAGGCATTGAGCACAAAATCTTTCTACATCTTTTCTCATATTAGGCCAAAAGAAATTTTCAGCAAGGATGTCAAGTGTTTTAGGCACACCAAAGTGTCCCATAAGCCCCCCACAATGTGCTTCCCTCACAAAAACTTCTCGCAAAGAACAATTAGGGACACAAAGCTTATTCTCTTTAAAAGAAACCCATCTTTCAGATTATACTTCTCAAAAGGCCCATTTAAACATGCCGAAAATGCTACATCAAAATCAGAATCATCAACATATAAATCCTTAATATGATCAAATCCCATCAATTTAGAAGTAAGAGTAGAAAGAAGAGCGTACCTTCTTGAAAGCGCATCAACAACTATATTGTCTTTACGTTGCTTGTAGCTAATCACATAAGGAAATGTCTCAATGAATTCAACCCATTTGGCATGTCTTCTACTCAATTTACCTTGGCTTTTCAAGTATCTTAAGGACTCATGGTCAGTTTTTATCACGAACTCCTTTGGCCACAAATAATGTTGCCATGTAGCAAGAGCCCTTACCAAGGCATACAATTCTTTATCATAAGTAGAATAATTCAATGCAGCCCCATTCAACTTCTCGCTAAAACAAGCTATTGGTTTAGAATCTTGCATTAAAACGGCCCCAATACCTCTACCAGATGCATCACATTCAATTTCAAAGGACTTATTAAAATCGGGTATTTGTAACAAAGGAGCAGAACACAATTTATTCTTCAAAATATTAAATGCATGCTCTTGTTCTTTTTCCCAATTAAAGACCTTATCCTTCTTAATGAATTCAGTTAAAGGTGCAGCAATTGAACTAAAATCTCTAACAAATCTCATATAAAAGCTGGCAAGTCCATGAAAACTTCTAACTTCAGTAATGCTCTTAGGTGTAGGCCAATCTTTAATCGCTTTGATTTTATCTTCATCTACCTCAACACCTCTAGAACTCACAACAAAACCCAAGAAAACTACCTTATCTACACAAAAAGTGCACTTGGATAGATTTGCATACAATTGTTGCTCCCTAAGCACATTACAAACTTGTTTCAATGTTCGACATGCTCTTCTAAAGATTTAGAAAAGATCAGAATATCATCAAAATAAACGACTACAAATTTTCCATGAAAATCCTTAAAGATATGGTTCATTAACCTCATGAATGTACTAGCTGCATTAGTTAACCCGAAAAGCATCACTAACCATTCATACAATCCATATTTGGTTTTAAAGGCAGTTTTCCACTCATCTCTAGGATTCATTCTAATTTGGTGATATGCACTCTTCAAATCAATTTTAGAGAATATTTGAGAACCATGCAATTGGTCAAGCATATCATCTAAACGAGGAATAGGATGGCTATACTTTACCGTTGTTTTATTGATGGCGCGGCAGTCCACGCACATCCTCCAAGTGCCATCCTTCTTTGGCACCAAAAGCACGGGCACAGAACATGGACTCATGCTTTCTCTTACAAATCCCTTATCAAGCAGCTCCTCTACTTGTCTTTGCAATTCTTTTGTTTCTTCGGGATTGCTCCTATAAGCAGGCCTATTAGGAATTTGTGATCCCAGCACAAAATCAATTTGATGCTCTATTCCTCTTAAAGGTGGTAAACCTTTAGGAAGATCCTCAGGAAAAACATCTTCAAAATTCTGCAAAAGGTTAGAAATAACACTAGGCAAAGAGGATGTTAGTGAATCATTATTAAGCAGAACTTCCTTATAAGTGAGCAAGATAATAGGCAGCCCCTCTTTTGTTGCAATTAAACACTCTTTGGCTTTTGCAAGGCTCACTTTTTTTTTCAATCTTAGCCTCTTTTCTCTCACCAATGCTTTTTTTTTCACTCTTCCCCACCCTTTCCTTTCTCTCATTGCTGCCTTCTCTCTCCTCACACCTCATTTCATAATTTCCCTCTTTTTCTTTCCCTTTAGTCTCTCGTTTTGATCTCTCCCCATGTTTCCCCATTGATTCTTTCATCTTTTTTTGATCTTCATACACTTGGGAAGGAGTTAAAGGTGCAAGAATGTACTTCTTGCCATTATGCTCAGGAGAGTATCTATTTTTCCTCCCATCGTGAAAAGCACTCCTATCATACTGTCACGGGCGCCCCAACAAGATATGACAAGCTTGCAAGGGTACTATATCACATAGAACTTCGTCAATGTACCTTCCAATCTTAAAGGAGACCATGCATTGCTTATTCACCTTGACCTCTCCACTATCATTGAACCATTGCAACCTATAAGGTCTAGGGTGCTTCGTCCATTCCAACCCTAACTTTTCCGCCAAATATGCACTCACAACATTAGCACAACTCCCATTATCAATTATCATGGAACAAATTTTATCTTTAATCCTGCACCGAGTATGGAATATGTTATCCCTTTGTTCTTCATTAGAGTCACCCAAATTAATGTGCATAAGCCTCCTAACCACAAAATTCACCCCACTATCAATGTACTCCATCTCTTCTCCTTCTTCACTCTCTACAAAGTTTTCATCTTGTTCTTCACTTGGTTCACTTTTTTCACTCTCATATCCCCCATCCTCTTTGATTAGAATGTTTCTTCTACTTGGGCATTCATAAGCCTTATGCCCTCTCCCTTGACACTTGAGACATCGAATAGAAGAAGTAGAAGTAGAAGTTTTAGGCATAAAAGGCTTACCCTCATCCTTGGATTCCAATTTGCTCCTGCCCTTGTCTTCACGGAATTTAAGAGTAGGCGTCTCCTCAGATTTCGGCCATTGCTTCTTTGGAATAGTAGTTGGCCGGCATTTCCATGAGCTAGATTGCTGTCTCCTTTTGTTTTGTCTTTCTACCTTTACAGCTAATTCAACTAACTCATCTAAAGTTACATATTGTTGTAATTCGTCAGCTATTTCCTTATTTAAACCATTCAAAAACCTAGCCATTGTAGCCTCCTCTTCCTCCATACAATTAGCTTGGATCATAGCCATTTCCATAGCCTTAAAGTACTCATCTACAGACATGGACCCTTGCCTCAAAGTTTGAAGACGTTGTTGTAGATCTCTTTGAAAGTGTGATGGCACAAATCTCTTCCTCATTACCCTCTTCATCTCAGCCCACGTAGCAACGACAGCTTGTCCTTCTTGCAATCTGTCCCTATAAAGCTTTTTCCACCAGATTGCTGCATAATCAGAAAACTCCACAACAACAAGTTTAACCTTCTTACCCTCCGAATAGTTGTGGCAGTCAAAGATGGCTTCCACTTTTCTCATCAGGGTACAAGTCTCCCCCTTGTTCCCTTGAAAGATGGCATCTTCATCTTTATACTACTTATATT